ACCAAATATGCCAAAGATGTCTACAAAATTATCTCAGTTATTATTAAAACACTGATTATTTTTGAAAACTTTGCCACCCTGTATCTCAAAAGTTAAGGCGTTTAGGACATACGTCTATAGAACGTTTTTTCTTAAAATGGGTCTAAGAATTACCTCCCTAAATATTAGCATGTGTTTAAGAAACACCCTGTATACTGGATTTTTGTTTTTTTCTAATAAGTCGTCGATATGCAATAAAAAGAAGGATGGAGATAATATGGATCCCTGGGAAACACCGGCGTTGATGGTAAAAGTATTATCCATCAACGGTCACTCGCAGGGAACGTTCTTTCAGGAAGCTGGAGAAGCATACACAAAAATGATCTGACAAGCCATAGCATCGAAGTTTGGCCAGCAAACCCTTATGCCACACACGGTCAAATGCTTTAGAAATATCAAGCTCAACAGCTCTTGATTATCCATGTTTCCCGATTGCGTTATTCCAAATATGGGTGTCATCTGATAAAAGGTCGACTGTTGATCTTTGTTTCCAAAGCCATATTGATGATCGCTCAAGATGTTAAAGGATATGCTGGTTTACGGCTTTCCCCATGATTTTTGATAAAACTGATAGCAAAATGACTGAAGGTTGAACTCCTTTTTTTATCCTATTTTTCAAGCAGAGAATACAATTTATTTCCACTGACCTTTGATGAAAAAAAACTGATAGATTTGATATACAGTTCTGTAGATAACGAATTGTCATCTCTGTGAATTATTTTGGTATCTAGAAAAGGAATAGTTTTATTATTTTCAAATTATATTGTTTATAATTATCACCTTTTTGAAATATTTCTTGTGATTTATTCTTCGGAAGAACTCATATAACATCGTTAACAAACTTTACGAGAAACGTACTGTGCCAGTACTGGTGAAATTGTTGCATTCATTGGCGTACCTGAAATTTGTTCGTAGTATTTTTATTCGAATGAGAAGTACCTCGAATTGAAAGTAAATTTAGTTAGTTCAAGAAATTTGTTTATTTTAATTCTGAAATTTCCTTCTATATCATTCCATCTCTTTAATATTGCTTTTTAACAAGTTTTATCGGTATTTTACTGAAAAAAGAAACCACATTGAAACTCATGAAATGATATTCATTTTGGTATACATTTTTTGTTTATGAAAGAAGCTAATTCAAACGAATCCTTGATATAATAATCATATTCCAAATTGAATGCTTTTGATTCAGGTAATTTTCATCATTATCAGGTTTTCGCCAATGATTAGTGAGAATGTTGTAAACCATTCCCTGAAAAAAATAACGCCGGACGCCGCTGATTTTCTACAATCGATTGAGTCTTGGCCAAAGTGACGCTCAACTCGACATGCGCCTGGAAGATTAATTTTCCTCATGAAGATGATGACTTGGTGATCGAAACAAGTGTCAAAGTGTTAAAATCACGGTTTGGTGTTGGGAAAAAACTACAGTAATATTTAATTCTAAAAGGACATTGCCAACCTGGGTTATTAGATGACTTTCCAGTTTACAATCACAGAAAATTCAACGTTTTTTGATACAAACTTAAAAAAACGACTTTTGGACAACGCAGCTTACGCGAATGGTTAGTTTACTCTCCAAGAGGTAATGAAATGTTTTGTTTTGTATGCTGGCTTTTCAATAGTGCGCATTGTTTATTATGGAAATATTTTTTTCATCATAGTTTTCTGATATTATTGCTTTTCTTAATGGGAAATACAGTATTACTATTTACTGAATTTTGGCGCTTAGTTATGGTGTGCCCTCCCGCCCTTAATTTTTAGAATCGCCACTGTCTACATATCCTTATATAGAGTTAATTCTTCGAAATTGCTTGATGTCTTCCTTCTTTTAGAATATTCTTACATTCTATTCTATTCAACCAAAATTCCTATGAACGGATATAGCATTTAACAACGCGTGCGAATACTAAAATTGTTTTATCAAAATGGCCCATTTCACGGTCGCCATAATCGTCCTACCGAGAGGACTATTCGCAAGTTTTGCCGAAAACACCCCCACTGTCTGTGAGAGTGTGCAGGAGAATCCTGACAATCAATTTCGAGTCACTCACAAGGACTCGATCTTTCACAGATCACAACTTGGCGCTTTTTGTGTCGTGATTTGGGCCTGCATCCTCACAAAATTCAACTGACCCAGGAACTAAAGGTAAATGACCATAAACAATGACGTGTGTTCGCTGAATGAGCTACAGTGCATAAGACAAACGACCCTGGTTTTCGTCGAAAAATCTTCTACAGCGGTGAGGCCCATTTCTGGGTGAATGGGTACGTGAACAAACAAAATTGTCGAATTTGGGACGATACCAATCCACATGAGATCCAAGAGCGTCTAATGCATCCCGAGAACGTCAATGTTTGGTGTAGATTTTGGGCTAATGGCGTCATCGGTCCATATTTCTTTAAGAGCGACGTTGGTCAGGCCAACACTATTAACGGTGAGCACTTTGGGTCGATGATTACCAATTTCATTTGGACTGAATTGGATGATCTGGATACCAACGACAAGTGGTTTCAACAGAATTGAGCTACGTGCCACACAGCTCATGTCACATTGGATATTCTGCACGACAAATTTGAGGGTACGGTCATCTCACGTGGAGGTGATGTGAGTTGGTAACCGAGATCGTGCGATATGACCCAGTTAGACTTTTTCTGGTGGGGTTTCCTCAAGTAGCAGGTGTATGCGAATAAGCCACAAACCACAGCGATTCTCATAGCCAATATAACACATGACATTTCTGGCAAAAACGTAACAATCTGCACTGATTGCAGAAAAGCCCTATTAGCCTTGAACAGAGATGTTACCTCAGAGCTAGTACTAGAGTTCCACGAAGATTTAGCCAAAGCCTTGGTAGATAATAACATTATCTTGGGATGGGTGAAAGGGCACGACAGGAGTAAAAGTAATCGCATTACCAAGGAAGTGGCTGGACTAAGAATTTTAGGACCCAGTGGCACCTACGGCCTGATGACTTCGACAATTGCGGAACTAGCCAAACGTCACAGCCATGCTCAATGCCTAAAGAGATGGGATAAAATCAATCTTGCCAGGATTACCCTGGGCGACTCTGGAAAGCTGGCACCGAAGAAATATCTGGCGATGACCAGGAAAAATCTACGCTTAACAGTAGGATTTCTGACTGGCAACTATCTCAACTAAGGAAACACCTCCATAATATGGAGCTAGTGGACACACCTCCATGCAGGATGTGTGAACAGGAAGATGAGACTGTCAGGCATGTCCTATGCGAGTGCTAAGAGTTATCGTCAATAAGAGAGTGTGTGTTTGACAAGTCTTGGCCTACACCTGCCGATATAAAGGAGATGTCCCCCAGCGACCTGTCCACCTTCCTGGAAAGGACAGGATGGACGATGACCTAGGAGGACAACTCCCCTACTCTACAGATACAGAACACATGACATCGGTCAAATTCGGCTTAATTTATGCGCCAGAGTTACGGAAAATTGATCTGCGAAGTGTTGATCAGTTTACCGATGTTTCAAAGTATTTAACGAACTGGTTCACCTATTCGCTCGTACATCCTATCGATATGCAGAAGCTATCTTGTTACGGGGGGCAAATTTTATGAAATCATCTTACTTTTCAATTATTCACAATGGCGATGCATAGACAATAAAAATGACCCCGGTAAGAATTTAGTTCTAACATTTAACATTGTTGCCGTTAACTCTCAGTTCAATTTGTATATGAGTTACCTTCAATTGAAAATTGTTATACTATATCAATAAATCTGTCGAGAGGCACAGCTATTTAAATACGACTCTAAAGCAGGCACGGTAATCTACAAACGAAGGAAGTTATTTGGGATTTCCCCTTGAGTAATTTTCATCGATTACCTTCAGTACTTTACAATTTTAATGAAGCGTTTGAGTGATGAAATTCATAAAAACGGGATTCCTCAGATTTTGTCCATTTGATTATTTTCTGTTTCCAAAGTTGAAAAAAATGACTCGATAAAGTCAGCGGATTGGAGTTCAGGAAATAAATTACACTCAGTACAGTACAACTCCTAATGACATTAACTTCATTAGTGAAATGTTTCTCTCTCTCTCCTTCTCTCGGATATTATTTCATATTTCTTTTTCAAATTGTCATTTGATCACCTTCATATATTTTTTCATGTTTTCCAATATTTTATCATGTGAAAAGTTGAGAATGACTACACCTAGAATTCAAATCAATACTTAGGAAACATTAATATCAGGAAATTGGGTTATTATTTCTTATCGTAAAATTGAAACATTCGTTCTTATCTAAACCATTCGGCGATTACACTGTAACTTTGAAATAGCAAGGAAGAAAATTTATGATAATACTGGATGCATATTCAAACAGTGGATTTGAATTTGGAAAATGATTTATAAAAAGCACGGGATTGTGAGTCATAAATTCTTGGCATTTGTTTTTAATTGCTGTCTAATGGTATCGGCTATAATGTTAATTAAGCAGGTCGATGGCCAAAATAGAATAGGCATGATGACTGATGACAATGTTGGGTAATATATCATAATTACAACATATATCATATCTCCGCAAAAAATAAAAGTTCAGTATAAAATAAATACACTTTATTTATAAGTTTTTAATTCGCATCAAAACACTTCAAAGTATCATGGCCTCGCTTGTGATATCACGTTCGAGTAGACTACATGTAATAGTAACAAGTCTTCCATAAATCACACCAGCTTAAGCCTTAGTTCGATTGATGACCTTCTTATTTTGTAAAAATTCATATCGAAAATAGGATAAAAAAAAACTTTTGTCCGATTGCTACTTAGTTTATTATTTGTTATGACTGGTTTGTTGAACCATTTTCAAGTGTTGTAGTAAATGGTTTAACAAACCGGTCTATTTTGAGTCTTTGGTTTGCAATTCAATGAACTTTTGATCTTGCATTTTTAATTATCAAAAAAGATGTATATGTTTCTGTTTTCAGTATGGCCTATACTCTTCCTTATGTGGAGGTCTCATATACGCTGTATTTGGAACCATTCCGGAATTGAGTATAGCCCCAACAGCTTTACTCTCCCTGCTGACGTATTCCTACACGAAAAATTTGAGTTTCGGGAATTTACAAGGTGCCATTTTACTGTGTTTCCTGGCAGGATGCATAGAATTACTTTGTGGCATATTGCACTTAGGTAAGTATCTAACTAACCCAACAGTTGGGCTGAAAAAAATCGTAGGCTAACAAAACTTTTTTTTTAATCTACTTGAGTTTAGTCCCAACACCAAACCTTCATTTCTAACACCTCGACACTTGTTTTGATCACCAAGTGATCATCTTCAAGAGGAAGATTATTATTCCTCTTGAAGATCATCATTGGTGATCGAAACGCGTGTCGAGGTGTTAAAAATAATGGTTTGGTGTTGGGATAAACACCAGTAATATTCATTACTACACCAAAAGTTCTAAACAGTGCATCACAAGAACACATTTTTGCTAATCATGAAATTAAAAAACAACAACAAAAATTAATTGGCGCTCGGGGCGACTTCATTGATTCCAGTGGCGCATTTGTTTTTTCAGCTGCAGGAAAACCCGGAAAACCCTGCAGCACCACATCATCTGAAGATCTTGATTTGCCAATATTCTCTCATAAAACAAAATATAGGGTGTCTCCAGGGGCTCCTCTAAATTCAATGCATCGCCAAAACACTTAGTGACAAGACTATCACCAAACTTAAGTTTGACGTTCGTTTCGTCTTTGACTAAGGCGTAATAATGACCAGATTCAACACCAGAATCCAGCTAGCATGCTCTTGAGGCCTTAAAACGGAAAAAAATTGGCTGGATGCCAAATCTGGAGAATACGGTGGGTGCGGAAGCAATCCAAAGCTCTATTCATACAATTTTGGTATCATTTTCATTGATTTATGATGCATTGTCTTGATGAAACATCATATTTTTTTCTTCAAATGGGTTAGTTTTTCTGCGATTTCAAACTCCAAACGCTCCAATAACGCTATGTAATAGTCTCTGTTGATGATTTTTTCTTTTCAAGATAGTCAATGAATATTATACGACACGCATCCGAGAATACTGACACCATAACCTTGCTAGCCAACTGTTGGGTTATTTTGTGGACTTTTTTATGTTTTCGTCATTAATAGCCTCTTTACGGCATCCTCTGCGTGCAGCAAACCACTCATCAACGGTTGATTTTCCTGGTGCAAAGTCCGAATAATGTTTATCAAGCCAAGTATTGGATTCAACAGTATTTTTTTGGCCAAAAGCAAAGCTTTATCAACACACGAAAATCCTTTTCAACCATTTTTTTCAAACTCACAAAAGTTGCTTCACTTAAAATGTTCTTTCCCACAAACTGAGAGTCCGACAGCTGTACACATGTCTTTTGAAGGTTGGGGTTAACTAAAAAGTATATGAATGTATTACCAGTAGCTCCATCTATATGCTAGCGTACGAACTTGTTAGCGCATCTAGTATAACTTAGTACCAACTTAATATCAAATAAAGATAAAACATCTGGAAAATGATTTCCCAAGAAGGAGATTTGTGAGTATCGCTGTTGAATTTCTAGAATGATCAGATTCTCAAGCTCAAACACAGTTGTCCCATTGTGATTTGGTATGAAATTAATTCTTCGAGAAAAATGGAAATTTATCTAATTTTTTTTAAGAGACCTCGTATATTGATCTGAATTGTTGAAAAATTGAACACGAAAGTAGTTTTCAAAAAGGGACCAACAAGTTTCGGCAACCAGAAAGACAAAAAAGAGTAGTTCGGGATTGCAATGAAAGGTATGTTGGTGAGACTAAATGTCCTATAATAACTCGTTTTGCTTCAGGGAACACGTTTCGTTTCAGGAAACACGTTTCACATATTCGGTTTCGTAGACTAGAGAAGCCTAGCGCTGTTCAACATACGAGTACGTTAGATAACGGCCACAAAATAAATGTGAAATGATTGGGACCGGTAAATGACAACAGTTTTGTAGATGGTTTTGAAAGTTTATAACAAAAAAAAATGGGAAATAAAATCAATGAACGCCGACAAAGGTACCATTCCAAACAGAACGTTGTTTATTCTCACACGTTCTAATATTTGGTTACATAAGTAGTCGTAACAATGGCAATCATTATTAGTACCAAGAACTCAATGACGCTTATTTAATGATCTTCTTTACCGGTATCTGATGTTGAACTCACTCGTCAAATTATAATCACCCGTGCCAAATCTCTAATGAACAATAGTAACAACTACGTAATTCATTCATGATTCATTAATATTACTATTGCCAAGATAAAATCAACATTCTCTTAATTATAATATGTATGTTTCGTGAATCTCAATTTCAAATATACAATCCTAGTTAAATAGGAAATCGTTGTCGTATCTTCTCTTCATACTTTCAACAAGCTTGAACAGGACAGTAGAAGCATTCAACTAGTACCTATCTAGATATCGGTATCAGAGTTACATAAGTTGATAGAGCATATACAAAAACTGACAAAAAAGGCAGTTGATCTCAAAAAGAACTCTTTTCAAACTTTTAGACATAACATTGGAGAAAAAATCCTCTCGAAATAACTTCTTTCATATAAACAATGCATTACACGAAAAAAAAGTGTGTGTGTGTGTGTACTTATGTACGCATGAATGCAGTTTCAAACTTTTCTCTTCTTAATGCAATATGTCGTATTCATGATTGAACTGATGTCCTGCTGAAAGGTGATTTGCAAATGTGGAATTGGTCTTTTTATTTACGAAACTACTTATATTCTCTTTAATTCTTTGGTAAAATGTTCTCCCTGTTTGGCCAATATACGGTTTTGGGCAAGAGCTACAAGTCAGCTTGTATACCAATTTCAAGCCGAGATTTAGTATGAATAATTCTTATCAATCAGTGAACAATATTAAAAACCTCATTCTTCCTGATAACACAAAATTAATATCGTTTGATGTCCAAAATTTATTTCCCAGTATTCTGCCAATTGAAACAATTGGACGTCTCTTAGATAAAAACCACATGAATCCACTAATAACACAGGAACTTTTAAATTTACTTTCTATTTGTCTATCTCAAAATTATTTTCAGTTTGACGAAAAAGTGTATTCATGCAGTAAAGCACTAATAGTGGGAAACCCTTTGAGTCCTTTGCTGGCTGAAATTTTCATGGATAACATAGAGTATGAAATCCATAACAATCAGTTAACTAACAGTTTCTTGTACTGGTACAGATACGTAGATGATATTTTAGTCTGTTTCACTGGTACAGATAGGCAATTAGGCAAGTTCGTAGAAAATGTCAATTCCATCTACCCGTCAATAAAATTCACCACGGAAGGGGGGGGTGAATAATTCAATGAATTTCCTTGACTCAACCATTACGAAAAATAACAATAAACATTAATTTGAAATTTCCCACAAACCATCTTACACGGACATTTTCATACATAATTCCTCCACACACCCTCACCAGCATAAAATTGCTGTATTCAATAGTATGCTTCACAGACTATTGAATATTTCATTGTCTGAGAGTAATTTCCAGAGAAAGCTGAGTATGATCAAACAAATCGCGGTCAACAACGATTATAAGGTAGATATAATAGACTCCTTTCTTTCCAAAAAACCTAAAAAGCAAACTATGGACCAGGTACACCCAAATTCAAGATGTGATAACCGTAGTTATAAGACATTGTTATATTTGGGTGGACCCACTAATAACATTGCTCGTTTTTTAAAGAGAGAATGCGTAAACGTAGCTCACAGAAAGAATAACGAATAATAGTCTAAGTAAATTTATTTAAAACAATAAAAAGACAAAACTTCGGTGTCGGATAGATCAGGAGTATATAAGCTGACTTGTGGCTCTTGCCCAAAACTGTATATTGGCCAAACAGGGAGGTCATTTTTTCGAAAATTTAAAGAGCATAGAAGTAGTTTTGAAATGAAAAGACCAATTCCACATTTGCCAACCACCTTTTAGCAGAAGGACATGAGTTCAAACATGAACATAACGTTTTATATTTAGAAGAGAAGAATTTTGAACTCCATCTTCTAGAATGTTATGAAATCAATAGATTCAGGAATTCGGGTAATTTACTGGTAAAGGTAAGTGGAAACTGGAACATGAGCTCAGGTAGTATAATTCATTACAAACTTAGGTGAAAATCAGGTACTTCAAATTGTAAAATTAGATATATTAAGCTTTGAGTATGTAGAATACAGGATGTTCCTTAAACACATGCTAATATTCAAGGAGGTAATTCTTAGACCCATTTTAAGAAAAAAACTTCCTATGGACGTATGTCCTAAACGCCTTAACTTTTGAGATACAGGGTGGCAAAGTTTTCAAAAATAATCAGTTTTTTAATAATAACTGAGATAATTTTGTAGACATCTTTGGCATATTTGGTACATATGTTCCATGCCTCAAGGCGCATTTTCTGATGTACA